GTGGGCACACACGGCGGATTCAAATTTGACCTCGCCATCCCTGGGGGGCTGCGATCTGTGAAATTGTCGCCACTTTCGAAGCCTGCTGGGGGGCCCAGCACAGTGGGTACCCACGGCGGACTCAAATTTGACCTCGCCATCCCTGGGGGGCTGCGATCTGTGAAACTGTCGCCACTTTCGAGGCCTGCTGGGGGGCCCAGCACAGTGGGTACCCACGGCGGACTCAAATTTGACATCGCCATCCCTGGGGGGCTGCGATCTGTGAAACTGTCGCCCCTTTCGAGGCCTGCTGGGGGGCCCAACACAGTGGGCACCCACGGCGGACTCAAATTTGACCTCGCCATCCCCGGGGGGGCTGCGATCTCTGAAGCTGTCGTTACTTTCGAGGCCTGCTGGGGGGGCCCAGCACAATGGGTACACACCGCGGACTGAAATTAGACCTCGTCATCCCTGGGGGGGCTGCGATCTGCGAAACTGTCGCCACTTTCGAGGCCTGCTGGGGGGCTCAACACAGTGGGTATCCACCGCGGACTGAAATTAAACCTCGCCATCCCTGGGTGGCTGCGATCTGTGAAACTGTCGCCACTTTCGAGGCCTGCTGGGGGGCCCAGCACAGTGGGTACACACCGCGGACTGAAATTATACCTAGCCATCCCTGGGGGGCTGCGATCTGTGACACTGTCGCCACTTTCGAAGCCTGCTGGGGGGCCCAGCACAGTGGGTACCCACGGCGGACTCAAATTTGACCTCGCCATCCCTGGGGGGCTGCGATCTGTGAAACTGTCGCCACTTTCGAGGCCTGCTGGGGGGCCCAGCACAGTGGGCACACACGGCGGATTCAAATTTGACATCGCCATCCCTGGGGGGCTGCGATCTGTGAAACTGTCGCCACTTTCGAGGCCTGCTGGGGGGCCCAGCACAGTGGGCACACCCCGCGGACTCAGACTAGACCTTGCCATCCCTGGGGGGCTGCGATCTGTGAAACTGTCGCCACTTTCGAGGGCTGCTGAGGGCACAGCATAGCGGGTACTCGCCGCGGACTCAAATTAGACCTCGTCATCCCTGGGGGGCTGCGATCTGTGAAACTGCCGCCACGTTCGAGGCCTGCTGGGGGGCCCAGCACAGTGGGTACCCACCGCAGACTCAAACTAGACCTCGCCATCCCTGGGGGGCTGCGATCTGTGAAACCGTCGCCACTTTCGAAGCCTGCTGGGGGGCCCAGCACAGTGGGTAGTCACCGCGGATTCACATTAGACCTCGCCATCCCTGGGGGGCGGCGATCTGTGAAACTGTCGCCACTTTCGAGGCCTGCTGGGGGGCCCAGCACAGTGGGCTTCCCGCGCGTCTTTCTCCTGTTCTTCGTCCCCGACTCCCCATGTCCTCTTCCAGCCTGTAGTTGTCGCCCCTCGTTCTTGTATGGTTCTCCTGCGCATCATGCCATAGGCGCGTGTCCCAAGTAGCTTACATATCAAACAACGGATCCTGCAATTTGATTGTCCATGCAAGTTTCGGCCAACTCCTCGTTTCCCATGATACAAATTGGTTGGGTACGTCACAGGGTAATTTCCAAAAGAACTCCCCCTGGGGCTTCGGCCCGTCCCGCCGGGGTCCCCGAAGGATTGCCCGGACCCGGCTGCCAAGGATGTTCTCTCCAGATGGCTCCAAGACGGCCCAAGATGGCCTCCAAGATGCATCCAAGACGGCCAAGATGGCATCCAAGACGGCTAAGCTGGCTCCAAGATGCCTCCAAGACGATCCAAAATGCACCCAAGACGGCCTAAGATGGCATCAAGATGGCCCAAGACAGCCCAAGAGGCCCCAAGAGGCCTCCGATACGGCCCAAGAGGCCCCCAAGTGGTCCTCCAGGAGGGCCCGTGATTTTCCTTCGGTTGTTTGAGGATTTTAGAATTTGCGCCTTTTCGGCTTTCCGACGGCCCAAGACGCCCAAGAGGCCCCCAAGGTCGCTCCAAGATCGCCCAGGAGGCCACCAAGATGGCCCCGTGACGGCCCAAGAGGCCCCCAAGACGGCCCCAAGACGGCCCAAGAGGCCCCCAAGACGCCCAAGATGGCCTCCAAGACGGCCAAGATGGCCCAAGATGGCCTCCAAAATGCCTCCAAGACAGCAAAGCTGGCCTCCAAGACGGCCTAAGATAGCCCCAAGATGCCTCAAAGACCGCCCAAGAGGCCTCCAAGAGGTCCTCCAGGAAGGCCCGAAGAGGCCAAAATCATTGATTTTCCTTAGACTTTCGAATGATTTTGATTTTTGCGCCTTTTCGGCTTTCCGACGGCCCAAGACGCCCAAGAGGCCCCCAAGGTCGCCCCAGGATCGCCCAAGAGGCCTCCAAGATGGCCCCGTGACGGCCCAAGATGCCCCCAAGACGGCCCCAAGAGAGCCCCAAGACGGCCCAAGATGCCTCCAAGACGCCCTCGATGGCCTCGAAGACGGCCAAGATGGCCCAAGATGGCCTCCAAGATGTCTCGAAGACGGCCAAGATGGCCTCCAAGACTGCTAAGATGGCCCCATCGTGCCTCCAAGACGGCCCAATATGCACCCAAGACGGCCTTAGAGGGCCTCAAGATGGCCCAAGACGGCCCAAGAGGCTCCTAAGAGGCCGCCAAGAAGGCCCAAGAGGCCTCCAAGAGGTCCGCGAGGAAGGCCCGAAGGGGCCAAAATCATCGATTTTCCGTTGGTTTTTGAAGCATGTTCCGCCTTCCGACGGCCCCAGGATCGCCCAAGAGGCCTCCAACATGACCCCGTGACGGCCCAAGAGGCCCCCAAGACGGCCCCAAGAGGGCCCCAAGACGGCCCAAGATGCCCCCAAGACACCCTCGATGGCCTCGAAGACGGCCAAGATGGCCCAGTAGACCCCTAGAGTAGCCCAAGAGCCTCACAAAAGGCCTGCTCCTCCCTTCTCCTTCTTCCTCCCTCTCCTCCCCTTCCTCCTCCCCCCACCGTGTTCCCCGAACGCTTTCCAAACCGACTCGGGGAACACATGATCCGATAGCTTGGCAGGCCTCTGGCCACAACGTTCGGCCATATCGGCGCTTCCGAACGGGCAGGGGGCGGCGGTGATTCGCCGTAGGCGTCTTAGATCCGCAGCCCCCTGTCGATTCATCGCAGGGGTGCCTGGCGTGCTGAATCCTCTCGGTTTTGGTTTTGGTTTTTTCCCCAAAGAAATCCCCCTGGGGCTCCGGCGCGTCCCGCCGGGGTCCCGGAAGGATTGCTCAGATCCGGCTCTAAAGGGTTTGTCCTGCTCCAGACGGCTCCAAGACGGCCCAAGATGGCCTCCAATATGCACCCAAGACGGCCAAAATGGCGTTTAAGACGGCTAAGCTGGCCCCGAGATGCCTCCAAGACGGCCCAAGATGTACCCAAGACGGCCTAAGATAGCCTCAAGATGGCCCAAGACGGCCCAAGAGCCCTCAATACGGCCCAAGAGGCCTCCAAGAGGTGCTCCAGGAAGGCCCGAAGAGGGCAAAATCATAGACTACACATGGGTTTTCGAAAGATTTTGGTTGCCCCTTTTCAGCTTTCCGACGGCGCAAGACGGCCCAGGAGGCCTCCAAGATCGACTCAAGGTCGCCCAAGAGGCCTCCAAGATTGCCCCATGACAGCCCAAGAAGCCCCCAAGACGGCCCCAAGAGGCCCCCAAGACCGCCCAAGAGGCCTCCAAGACGCCCAAGATGGCCTCTAAGACGGCCCTGGAGCACCCCAAGACGGCCTAGTCGGCCCAGAGAGGCCCCCCAAACGGCTTCCGACGGCGCAAGACGGGCCAGGAACCCACCAAAACGGCCGAAGATGGCTCGAAGCTGGCCCAAGACGGCCCAAGAGGCCTCAAAGAGGCCAAAAAACACTTTTTTGCCTTAGGTTTTCGCAGGATCTTTGTTTAGTCTCTCACTTAGCGGAGAATGCGTCTCGAGTCTCACTGGCAGCGTCTTCGCGCAGCGGACGCCTATCGCCCCAGGTGGGACGAGTGACCGATACACAGAACAAAACGAAATATCAAAAAAGGGGTGGGGGGGAGGGCCGGTTGATCTGTGGAGCCAAAGGCTATGGGCATAGACCAAAGAGCGACAAAGCGTGATCAACAAACATTTCTGCGCACGCACTCCGGCGGAGAATGCGTCTCGAGTCTCACTGGCAGCGTCTTCGCGCAGCGGGCGCCTATCGCCCCAAACCATCCCAAACCAGATGTTCACAGATCCCAAGAGGGGATCCTAAAAGCGAGCGAAAGACAGCGTCTATGGAAGTCAGGGGCAGAAAACAAGGCCCTCTCAACAACCTAGCAGCTTCGACCTGTAGGGGGCTGAGAGGGTGAAAGCAAGATCCCGCGCCAGCGTGCGTGGGTACTCGGCGGCAAGTGCTGTCCAGTGAATGCCCTCATTAGACTTACCCGAGAGATGCCAATGCGCTTTTCCTGTTCTAGAACCGTGGCCTCTGTGGGCCGTACACTGCTTGCATAGGCGCCCACAGTCATCGACACAAATATTTTCCACGAAGAACGTTGTTCGTTTACGCCATCGAGTGCCGTGCTGGCACTGATCGCATACCATCTCGCGGCACCAGCCTAGTCGTAAAAACTCTTGGAGGACTGGAGTCTTGAAAGCGCACGAAATACCAGGATTCTCTAAGATCCACGGCACCCGCTGGGACACACACGCCCTGATAAGCTGCACAGTTGCTTTCAGCAAAGCGTTTCCGTGGTCCACACGGGCTTGCAAGTGGGGCTCTAAACCGGGAAGCCCCATCGGGAAACTGTCTGACCGAAGTCGCCCTGCTTGCGCTATTGAAAAAGAGGTGCATGGCAAAGCTACCATGGCTCCTGCGATTTTTCCAGCTCTCACGTCGGACAAAAGTTTAACTAAGGACAGGCGGTCGAGAATGCCAAACCCTTTCTTCAACTCCAACTCTCTACAAGCAAAACCGTTACTTCTCAGGGCGCGGGCCACGCCTCCTGTGCCCGAGAATACATCGATGAACCACTGCCCCCGACTCACATCTAATCGCACCGCGTTACCGCCTTGCCCCGCAGGATAACATCCTCGAGCTGTGGTTCGCATGCCCGAAGGTGCTGTAGGAGGTTTGACGGGAACCGCAGCTCGCTGTGTCGAAGTCGGGCATGGTTTTCGTACCCCATCACGCTGCTGTCGGCCTTCCATCCTCCCCGGCGTTTAACTTCCGCAAGGCTTCTCCATATGTTCTCTCTGTCGATCGAGGCACCTGAATGCCTGGTCTGGTACGGGACCACCGTCACGTTTAACGCCTTGGCACACTGATTGAACATCTTCAGGTACTCCCAGTATCCGAACCCCCAGACCGCCTGTCGCCTGTTCTGATTTGCCAAGATATGCAGGAGTGGACCAATAAACTGAAGCCACGGGCTGTCGAGCATCATCGAAAGGTCGTACTCCCCGACCTTGTCCGGCACTCCTCTCTCGGCTGGATGCACCAGCAGGCCCCAGCGCCCGCGGGCGGACTTGGGCGCCAGGAAGCTCTCCGGCCCCAAGGCGAGGATGCTGCTGGGCCTCAGGTAGGTACTCACTGAGAGCAAGACAAACAGCGCCATCTTGGCCTCTCCCCGCTTCGCCATCTCGCTGGCGATTCCCGCCCACAGGCAGAGCGGCTCTGGGCGCCTTGACCTCCCTGGCGCGAGCCGCCGCCAGCCCTTCAGCGCTCGCCAGGCCCTGGGGGCCCGGCGGTCGCCCAGCCGCCCGAACCGCGGCTCCGCGCGCATCAGGGCGGCCATCAGCTTGGCCCCTCGGTGGGCCTGCTCGCCCAAGAAAGCTCTTTCGAACAGGCGCACCAGTGACTCGTCGACCTCCTCGTCACTGAACCTCTTCACATTGTCGATGCGAGAGTGACCTTTCCAGCGCTCCAGCTCGGCCTGATACTGCCGTCGGGTCTGCTCCTGAACAGCTTTCTGTTCGAGCAGACTGCTGCCCGAGTTCAGCAGCTCGCAGGCCTCCGCCACGTAGTTCGTCACCCGCCGCTTGCGCCGACGACGAAGCACCCGCTCTCGCCCTGCGCCTGGCGACTCCCCGCCTTCGGACGTCGCCCCAGTGCTGCCGAGCCGCTCGGCTGAGCACCGTCCTGCCGCAACGCTGCGGAGCGTCGGGTGATGGAGGGGGCCTCCGCCTCCTGGGTCAGCTCCTCCAGGCTGGGCAGGCGCGAGGCTCGCGGAGCCTCCCAGCCCTTGGGCGGCCCCACCGGCGGCAGCAGCCTGGCTCGTCTTGCCTGCGGCAAGGCCTGGGCCTCCTGCAAGGCGGCCAGCTCCCGCTTCCGCCGGCCCGCGCTCACCGTCTTGGCGCGATCGGGGCCTGCGGGGGGCGCCAGCGCCCGCCTCCTCATCTGGCTCTACGCCAGACGGCGCGGCGCCACGACATGAATTCTCTGAACCGCTGGCAGGAATCGGAGAAAGAAGACTGGCACGATCGGAGCCACAAGGAGCCGAGGCCCCGCTGGTTTGAGCCAAAGCGCCCACGCGGCCCGATGTCGGCTGCCGACCAGGCAGCAACGAGAGAGAAGCGGAATCCACAGCCTGTTCTGAAGCGGACCTCTCTCTGAGGACCCGCGCTCCATCAACCTTTACAGCGCCCTCCCCCCGTGGTTTGCAATCTACCCCTTTGGAAAGGTCATAAATTCGTGAAGGACCATCAGCACTGTTAAGTTCCGAGGGAATCCACCGAACTACGGCACTGATGTTCATAGCGAGGCAGTAACTACAGAAACGACGCATTTGATTCAGCAGAAGGTAGTCTCTGGCTCGACACCTATCGAAAGCGAGGCACACAGACATGTTATCCACAAGCAACAGCTGTCGAAGATTGCGCCCGAACGTAAGGAGGGCCAATCTGCGCAGATTCATCACTAAATCACGAGCCTCAAGGTGCACGATCCCCTGTTTCCAACGCCAGGGACCCCACAAGGTCGGGCTCCAAAGCTCGGGCACGAGGCCCCCCTGAGGGACCTCCAAGAACTCAGGGTCCAGGTCCCGGACGCCGGGGGGCAGCACCGCTCTCAAACCTACGGCCCCTCCTTTGCCTAAAACACCCTCGGCACGATCTAAGAGGGAGGCGGGGGCAGTCGAGACGAAATCCTCTCCCAAAGCCGAGGCTCGGGCGTTCGCCGCCTCTGGCACGAGAAACCTATCTCTCTCCCGACGACGGCCAGTCTCCTTGACCAACTCGATAGGCCACCAGGCTTCTGCGGCTCCGCAGCCGTACTCAGAAGCATCCGAGGCGACCACAAGTCGGTTCCAGGGACGGGCCCAGTCGCTACAGGGAAAAACGAGAAGCCCAGAAAAATAGCGGAGCTCCTCAATCACTGTGGGCCACAATGGTTTTCGGCTGGAGGTAGTTTTTCTGAACAAAGGCGTAGCATGCATGAAAACACGATAGCACTGCTCGGCGGGACATCGCCAGGAAGGTGAGGTGCCCTAACAGCACCTCAAGCGCGCTGCCTGAGCAGCGGCCCCGCTGCAGCAGCCCGGCTATGGCCTGCCGAGCCCGCAGCCGCCTCCTGCCAGTCGCCCGAGTCTGCATCACCTGCCCGTCGACCTCGACACCGAGCACCTCGACGACGCCAGAGCTGACGGCCTGCTCGTGAACCAGCAGCCCCTTCCTGGAGAACGCTCCCACCACGTCCTCCAGCGTGCCCTCGACGCTGGTCTGGTCGGTGCCCATCACGCCCACGTTGCCCACGTAGATGTAGTGCCGAAGAAAGCCATGCCGCTATCCACCAAGTATCAGCGGCCTCCCGCGGCCACGGAGCCGGGTCTCTGCCCCCAGCGCCGCCACGCTGCCAGCGAGCTCCTCGCCGGACACCTGGCAGAAGAAAAGGCTCCACGAGAAGCCCATCGGGAACGCCACGGGGCAAGGCCACACCAGCTCGTTGCCTGTCAGCGCCTGGCCCTCCACCTCTCGGCCACTCAAGCCCACGGCGCCGCTGCGGACGGGCGGGAAGCAGAAGTACCGTCTCAGGAACTGCGGCATCCGTAAACGGTGGAAGGAGTCCTTGACATCAGCCACCCCCACCGTCACAGAAAGCTTCCGCCCTATATCTGCAAGCATCTCGGAATCCACCACCTCCGAATCGTCGATGTCGACCTCGACGCTGCTAAGGCCCTCCGCAGTGATCAGGCCCACGCTGGGTGGCCGTCTGAACCACTGATTGGACCGGCGGGCGTCAAGTATAAGTCGTTGTCGCTCGCGACCCTTCTTCCACACGCAGAAGATGCCGACGCTCTCAAGCGGCTGCAGCGTGAAGTCGACAAGGCCCATCGCCATCAAGTCCTTCAAAAACGTAGTGTAAACGGTCCTACGGTTCACCAGAGCGGGGTCGCAGTAGCACAGAGTGCCGTCGCGCGCGAGGTCAGCCTGGGCCTCGCCGACGGGCTTCAGCATACGCTCGCCCTCCCTCTCCAAGAAGTAGTGGCCCCTCCTGCCGCAGACGTCGCCGATGTAGGGGAAACCCTCCACGGGCTCCGGCAGCGACAGGCGGCTCTGTTGAAAGGGCGCCATTGAGTCGTCGGCCGCCCCCGCGCCGCACAGGGAACGGCCGCGCAACAACTCCCGAAGGGCCACCTGCGCCGGCGGCGCGTCAAGCCCGCTGCACGCGCGCTGCTCGCCCTGGGCCAGCCCACACACGTACTGCGTCACGCCCCGCTGCATCTCATCTCCCTCACGCTGAGCCTCATGCCCGAGCTCGAAGCCATGCATCCAATTAACTGCGCTGAGCGCGCTGTCAACCAGATCGATCTCCCGGCGGCGCGCACGCCACCTGGCCAGCCTCCTGCCGCCCTGCTTCGCTGGCCGCGCGGGCGCCTCCTCCCGAAGTAGCGGGAAGAGGTCTCTGGTGCCCGCAGAGGGGGCCGCTGCCCCCGCTCCCACACCCCGGGTTGGGAGCACGCGCCCGGGCCCCCTGGTCCGTCATGGCTTCGAGGCGGAGCCGCGACCACGGCCGCGGCCACCGCCGCGTCCTCCGCCGCTCTCCGCCTTCTCAGCCTCGTCATCGCCACCTTCGTCATCCTCACCAGAGCCGCCCTTCAGCCCGCGAGCGCGGGCGGTGTTCAGCTCGTTCTCGCCCTTCGCTCGCTCGATTCCCCACTGTCGCAGGGCGGGAAACACGCTGTCCAGCACTCCTGACACGGCCTCGTAGTGCCTCGCCATCCGCCATGACGGACCGCCGCTGCCGCTGTAGGCGTCCACGATCGACGCTATGCGGCGGCTGATGCGCTCGAAGCACTGCGAAGCCGGCATGTTCAGCTGATCGAACGTGCCACCGATATAGACAACCTCGACCAGATTCTGCAGCTCGTGAAACACGCGATCGGACTATCGGATTTCTCGATCCTCCTGTCCCGGCAGAAGTCCGCGAGCCACATCTTCGGGTTTCCCCCGTTCCGAGCGGTCTGATTCATCCAGTGAAGAAGCGAGGGAGGTCCTTCCACGGGTCCATCTCTCCAGGTCTCCGTGCGCGACTCCAAGCAGACCTGCCGCCACTCCTTGAAACGTTCGCCTCGGGGATCGTAGTCCACCCAGAGGGTCCTGCACTCCTCTACGGCAGCACCTTTGCCATCGCCTCGGGGGGGCGTCCGTGCCTTGGCCACCCGCAGCCTCGTCACCAGGGGCAGCGGGCCTGACGCGGGCAGACGCGATATCCAACAGCTCCCGAGAGCGCGCCTCCACCTCCGAGCGACGCACCATCACGCACTTCACGAAGAGGCCACCCCCGCGCTGCTTCAGCATCACGGACTCGCTGACGTGCACGTCCACGCCATCAACAAGCATCACAATGCTTCCGACTGGCTCGGGCCCCTCCAGGCCGTAGGTGATCCAGCAGTGCTCTGGCGCCGTCCGAATCGAGTCGGCGGCTACCACTGCCTGCACCGCCGCCGTGACCACCGCCTCCCAGGGGGGCCAGCGCCGACTCCATCTCGCGAGCCGCCGCAGCTGGCCAAGGCTGCACCGCTCCGTCCACATCCACGAAGTCTCTCGGCAGCGGCTGAGGGGTGCCAGCGCTGGCCTGGGCGCGGAAGTGCTCCACAGCCTTGCGAACCAATTGCGCGTCCGTCGGGTACTCCCTGAACCAGTAGAACTTTCCTCGAAACATTCGAGGGGCACCCCCCTCCAGCGTGAGCATGGCAAGCCTTGTCGGACCAGGCTGGCTCCCGTCCAACGCCTCTTCATACTCGTCGCCGCCTGGGGTCATCACGCGCCAGTTCCAGCCCGGCAGTGTTCCCAGCTCCTCCGCGCTAGAGCCTATCAGAAGCCGCTCGTGCCAAAGCGCATCCTCTGGGTACTTCACCGCCACTACTTGTCCCGGCCGCAGCCTAGGCAATATACCCTCTTCTGTGCCGTTTGCGCCCGTCTCCGTCACCAGCCTCGCGTTGCGGGCCAAGGCCGCCATCACTGCGGCGGGCCCACCAGCTCCTTACTTGCAAAGCGACCGAGACAAGACCCAGCGCCACTGCCCAGCCGCCGCCAGCCGAGACCTCGCAGCTCGGGCACTCGCAGCGGCACTCCACGGGCTCGAGAGCCTGCTCGCGCCGACCGGCGGCGCCTGACGCCCCCGCGGGATCGTCAGGCCAGGGAGGCGGCGGGCCCCCGCGCCTAGCGTCCAGCTCCTCGAGGGCGTTCGCGACCACCGACTCGAGGCTAGGCGACGCCTCCGCTGTCGGCTCGGGCGAGAAGCGTCGCACCTCTGGGAGCGAAGCCAGGAGCACCAGGACCGCCCACTGCCAGTGCGCGACACCCGCGCCCAGCATGCAGGAGGTGGCCCCCGAACTCCCCGGTTGATCTGTGGAGCCAAGGGCTATGGGCATAGACCAAAGAGCGACAAAGCGTGATCGACAAACATTTCTGTGCACGCACTCCCAGACATTTGCTTTTTTTCGGCCTTCCGACGGCCCGAGACGGCCCAAGAGCCCCCAAAGATCCCCCAAGAGGCATCCAAGATGGCCCCAGAACGGCCCAAGAGGCCCCCAAAACGGCCCCAAAGACGCCCAAAATGGCCTCCAAGACGGCCCTGGAGTATTCCAAGAGGGCCCCAAGTCGACCCAGAGAAGCCCCCCAAACGGCTTCCGACGGCGTCGGACGGGCCAGGAGCCCACCAAAACGGCCCTAAGATGGCCCTAAGATGGCCCAAGACGGCCCAAGAGGACTCCAAGAGGGCCTCCGGGAAGGCCCGAAAAGACCAAAAACATTGATGTCCCCTGAGTCTTTGAAGGATTGTGGCATTTGCTTTTTGCTCGGCCTTCCGACGGTCGGAACGGCACAAGTGCCCCCAAAGATCGCCCAAGAGGCGCAAGACGGTCCCAAGAGGCCCCCAAGACGGCCCAAGAGGCCTCCAAGACGCTCAAGATGCCTCCAAGACGGCCCAAGAGCCCTCCAAGACGTCCTCCAAGAAGGCCCGGAACGGTCAAAATGGCCTCCAGACGGCCAAGATGACCTTCAAGATGCCCACGTGTTCCCCGAAGGCTTTCCAAACCGATTCGGGGAACACATGGTCCGATAGCTTGGCAGGTCTGGCCTCAACGTTCGGCCACATAGACGCTTCCAAAAAGGCAGGGGGCGGCGGTGATTCGCCGTGGGCGTCTTCGATAACGCCGCCGTCTCAATATGCACCGATGACTCCTATCCGCCCCCGCTGATGTTCCTAGATGCGCCAAGGCAGCGCCGAGACGCACCGACGCGACTCTGATGTATCCCGTTATGATAGATAGAGAGGGGGCCGGCGGCAGGGGGCGAAACCCTTACGAATCTGCCTTGAAACGAGCCCATTTGTTCCGCTGGATAATGATTCAATTTTCACTGAATTTCCATTGGCTTTCTCTTCGGTTTTCACTGCGCTCCTCCTTCGTGATTTCGCAGCGTCTCTCAGCGTGCGAACTGTCTCCGGAATTTCGCATACTCACCATCGCAATGTCGGCAGGACGACGTACTAAAACAAACGCAGAAGGCGGACAAGGAAGAGGCGGCGATGCCCACGGTGGTCGGCTATTAACCGCGCCCGGCACGCGAACAATTCTGAAAAAGTTCGAACGGAAAAGCTGTTCTCGGGAAAAAATCAAGCTATATATTTCCACTGGAATTTTACGCTGGGGACGCGCCAGCCTGATTCCTGGGGAGGTGATGGCACTCACGCCTCCCAGCTCGCTCTAAGAAGTTCTGCCGCTGCTGCCAGTGGACTGGCCAGCGAGGCGGAACCGCCACCGTGGTGCCTGGTCATCCAGGCAAGCAGCCAGGCGCGAGTCACTCGCATGAACTGTTGCTGCAAGGACCATGTCTCTCCTCAAAACCCTCTGGACCGTCTTTGAACACGTGGGAACCCCGCAGATCCCTGTAAAATACCTGATGCTGCAACAGCGTCCCGCAAACCCGCCCTCCTCATCCTCTTCCCCTTCCACTCTGCGACTTCCCCCTCCCCCCCCTCCTCGTCGTCGTCGTCATCGTCGACGTCGGCATCGGCGTCGTCGTCGGCGTCGGCGTCCGCGTCGGCGTCGGCGTCGGCACCGGATGGTTTCGATGACGACGGAGGCAGCCCGAGCGAGTGGCAGCCTGGTGCGCAGCGTGCTGCTGAGATCACATGGCCACGGCCCACCGTGGCACGACGAGACGCCCGCAAGCAGGCCCTGGCAGCGAGCGAGGTGGCCCTCCGATCGGCCCGCAGCGAGCGCTGAGATCCAGGCTCCTGACTGGCCCGCGAGGCTGAGGCACGGTGCGCCCTTCGCCGCCTTGTCAAGGAAGGGAGGGTGCCAGGGGCAGCTAGGAGGCGGAAAGCAGCTTGATACGCGGTCCTGGTGCCACGGCAGCGCTGCGCCAGTTGTTGGGGGTCCCTGGGATGCCCCCGCACGAAGCGCATCGCGAAAGAACAGTCTATCGATTGCGACCGCACGCTCCCAACGTGAGAACTTCAACGGGCGCCCCACCACCTGCGGAGGCTGACACGGCGGGGAGGTGTGGTCAGGCGTGTGAGGCGTGGCGGGGAGTGTGCATGGGCGCGCCCTCGCGGGGGCAGGGGTTCGCGCGGCTACACCCCCGCCTCGACACAGGCCGACGAGCCTTTCGCTTTGGCCCATTCTCAGCACCGAGCTGCCCGAGGTGCACGGCTGCGGAGGCGCACATTCTCTCCTGCGCGCGCGCTGCAGGGCCCAGGAGAGCCGCGGGAAGGCGGCGGGCTCAGATCCCCCACGAGTTCCCGACTGCGGGCCGCGCGGCTTGCCTTCGACACCGAGGTCGCCCCGATCTCGGCCAAGCACGTCCCCGTCTCGTGCATGCCGAACGGTCCCACGGGGCCAAGCGGCTGCGTGCCATTGCGCCCGGCGGCGGCGTGAGGCGCGCGTGCTGGAGCGGGCTGGCGAGGGACAGCCCCTGGAGTCCGACGCCCGCGTGGGAGGGCGACCCGCTCGGCGCGTGGTGTCTCACCGCCAGCGAGTCCGAGTGCTGCTGCTGCAAAGCTCCTCCTCCTGCTCCTGCTCCTCCTCCTCCTGCTCCTCCATCCCTCGCCTCGCCGCCCTTCCCCTCCGACGGCAACGACGGCGACGACGGTATCCGCCAGGACGGCAAGACCCGCAGGCGGCGGCGCGCTGGCAGCGCGAGGCGGGCGGGCGGGCGGGCTCCTGAAGTCCTTCAAGGAAGGGGCGGGGGCCTCGGCGGCCTTGGCGGCACCTGTGTCGTACGGTGGCTCGCCGTCGCCGTCACAGTCGCCGCCGTCGCCGTCGTCGTCGTTGTCGTTTTGAACTTCTTGCCAGGCAACCGCAGTTGAACCCTGCCCCTGCAGGTAAGATGTCTGAAAAGCTGGCAGGGGGTACTTGAAGGATGGATGTATGCAGCCGATGGAACTCCCACGGGGGTGTCTGGCATCCAAACGTCGATTGGGCCCGCAGGTGTAAGATTCGCAAGTGGTCTGATATGTGGGTCTCCCAGGAGAGTCCTCGTGGCCACGGCTCGACGCCTCAATAGGCTGGTCAGGACGGAATCGGGGAGTGGTCTGTGGATCGATTTTGAAGAACCTCGTCGTCGCTGCGTCGACATCGTGATCGACATCGACGCTGGTCGGCGGCGCGCCCGGGGGAAGTGAGAAGAAACAGTCCTTCTCAGAAGGCGGCCGGGCTTCTCAGAAGCCATCGCGCCTTCTGAGAATGCTATGCGTCTTCGGGGAAGGCTTAGAAAACTTCTCAGAAGGCTGGAGGCATTCCAGGCCTGAGAAGGCCCGCGCCTTCTCACTTCCCCCCAGGCTCGCCTCCGAGTTGGGGGAGGAGGAGGTCGGAGGTTCGAATGAAAAGTGAGGCGCCGACACACGCCCAGAAGAACGGCCCTATGAGAGCACGGCGGTTGCGCCAGAGCCTGGGATGCACTGTGGATCCCTGTGTGACTCATGAGCGTCAAGCTCGCGGAGGAAGGGGAGGGCGACGACGACAACGACGAGGAACAAGAACCATGACAATTCGGGGAAATAACCTACACTCCGGAAGAGGCCGGCCGAACGCCGACGCATGGCAGAAGAGTGGGAGGAGCGAAGTAGCACGAGCTGCACTAATCAATTAAAGGCATGCGCTCCTCAGGAGGCTTGCCATTCAACAAATGATGATGCCCTTGTCGCTTCCTCCATGAACTGCCGACGGTTGTGAACATTTGACTGGGAATGCCTGGCGAAACAACAACTCTGAACGGTTCATGACATCGTCTTCAATGTCCAACTCTTGTCTGCACTTATCTCTGACTACGCAACTTGCAAACATATATATATATATATAACAACGATTGTCTGCCAAATCCGCGGAATCGCACTTGAGAGCCACTTGCTGCCTGAATCCGGGCGCCAATGTGCAACTGCCATTTGCACTGTTATGTGATATGCAACAGTGTCATACTTGTCCATGCGCTCCGCGCTGCAGCAACGGGCCAGTCAGTATGTTCACGCTGTTGTCATTTGTGCTAAAGTAATGAATATCATATGCCAACTTGGCTGTCGTCTATTCTGCAGATGCCCGAGCGTGTCTGAGAATGCTGCGATGTTCTGGCCAGTCGCCGTCTGTCAATGTGCAGTAGTTTGCCATTCCTGCCAACATATCGAATACATCCTTAGGATCTCCAGCAATGCCTCCAAAATCCTTCATTTCTCTTTGGCCTGTATCGCAAGCTGTCAGATTGCGTGTCTGTCAAAATGCGGTCGCATATAGTTTCGAGGCTGAGCGAATCCAACACATGTTTGTTCAAGGCATGCCAGTCTCTTTGCGACCTCATGTGTGTTGGAATCCTCGCAAAGCTTCTGCTCTAAGTTCGCTACTCTGGAGGTCAAGCTCTCAACGGTCGAAACTAATTCGTCGATGATTGCACTCATCTGAGAAACTTCCTCACTCCATGCTGCAAGGATTCCAGGGGTTCTGAAGCTATTCCGCCTACCGTACTTACAGAGTTGGTGTATATCACGTCTTGTGTGGATGTGCTTGTGAGTTATTTCGCTTCGTCGTGCAACCCTGCCTGTAGTGGCGTGGAACGCCACCAACAGAGTGTTTTGAATGTGATTGCATGTGTTTTTGGAGAGTGACAGAAAGAATGCCACGTAGGCATTCTCAAAACATCCCCCTCGCAGGCTGGAAGTTTGGAGGGAGGGAAGGATGGGAGGAGAGACAAGCTGGGTGCGCTCGCGTCATATCTGACATCCTACCCCTCCCTCCCATCCCTTACCATGGCACAGATCCCCTCTCTACTCGCTCAGTCGGATGTCGAGCAGGGCAATGACCCCGAAAGGGTACGCGATGCA